AATTCAAAATCCTGCTCCTCACATACAAGGTCTTAAATAATCAGGCCCCATCTTATCTTAATGACCTTGTAGTACCATATCACCCTATTAGAGCACTAAGAGAGTTTTACAGCCTTTACACAGCTACTGGAAGAAACCTGAAAGATCTGTCCTTGTGCATTGACAGACAGGAATTTCAGGAAGGATATACTCTGTTCGTGTTCAATATGAGTCCTTCAGATGACAGCCAAGTGTTATCACCGATAATAAATGGTTCCTTGAGACTTGAAATGCGCTTCAGAGTCCCGCTGCCTCACACAACAATGCTGATCATTTATGCTTATTACGATTCAAGTCTCGAGATCAATTCAAAAAGACAAGTTTTGGTTGATTATTACTGAGGTTTCTGTTTTCTCCAATCATGAACAATCATCAATTGGAGAGTATCATGAGGCTGCTGGTCGGTGACAGATTCTGTGGGGTTTGGGCCTCAGACGAGTTGCTGCTGCTGCTCAAACATTCATTTAAATGGCCTGCATATCTGATCATAAATACAGAGCCAAGGAACAAAGCTGGAACTCACTGGCTGGCGATTTCATTAGATGAAGATGGAGGTGCCAGTTTTTATGATTCGTTCGGATTCCCACCGGATTATCCATTTTACCCCAAAAGCAGTGTAACCTTTTTGAAAAAGCATGCTGATCGAGTATCTTTCCATCAAAGGCAGCTGGGAGCCACGCTGTCTACAGCATGCAGTCAGCACTGTATATTGTTTTAGCCCAGAGATGGCGTGGAAAGACTTATGATGATGTAAAATGATGCCTTGGTCTCATGTGTTGTAAAACGGTTTATAGGCATTTGATCATGTAAAGCTAAGAATTTTAACCAAACTTCATGCTTTCTGAAAGCTTTTAATGATTGTCACTTATGTTAAATGTAAATGCGTTTTAGTTTTTTTTAATTGAACAAAAACAGGAGAGATAATTAACTGTAAGGGTCTAAAGTGATGCCTTGTTTAGCCTGGTAGTCATTGATGTAAAGCATCTTATCCTCTTCACTTACAAAGTCTGATGGATAGCCTGAAGCTTCTTGTTTTTTGCGTTGGAAATGATGTACATATTGTGTGAATATTGTGTTACTCTGTCTCTCAAAGTGCCATACCTCGATGATTTTAGCTATTCTATAACCTTTTTCTAACCCAAGGTTAAATTCAGGAATGGTCCACGCGCCTCTGAGAGCTCTCTGCTCATTGCTATGGTTACACGCCTGCTCCTGGTTGTTCATTTCAGTTCAAGTGTGGCAGAGCGTAAACACAAGCTTGCCTGATTGGGTTTTATACGGTAAAACAGGAAAATAAAGATCCCTGGGTGGGTATACAATTGCCTTGATAAACCCAAAGTAGTTTTTTGTGTCCTGAAAATTCAGAAAAAATTATTTGAGGATGACCTAAGGGGTACCTACAGGTGCTATTTACAAACGGATACAAGGAGGTAACATCCACGTAACAATTGTTTTCACCAGGCCCAGCATTGCAGCGCAGCCGTGCTG